GCATGGTAATGGCATCAAAATATACACAAAAACCAATGGACTAGAAGACACAAAGACAAACCCACATACTTTCAGTCATCTGATACTTGATAAATGTGCCAAAGGGGGCAAAAAAAAAAACAATGGAGAGAAGAACCCTTTTAACAAATAGTGCTGGGAAAACTAGATATTTACATGTAGAAGAATGAAATTATATCCCTGTCTTTCACCTGCAAAAAAATTCAAATCAAAATGGATCAAAGACTTGGGAATTAGACCAGAAACCTTGCAACTGCCAGAAGAAAACATATGGTCAATACTCCATTATATAGGTAAAGCACTGACTTCCTCAACACGACCCTAAAGCTTAAAAAGTAAAACCAAGAATCAGTAAGTTGTTGCCATCAAACTAAAAAGCTCCTGCAGAGCAAACAAAATGATTAAGAGAGTGAAAACAGAGCCTATGGAATGAAAAAAAAATCTTTGCCAGTTACTCCTCTGACAGAGGATTTATATCCAGAATATATAAAGAACTCAAAAAAAAAAAAAAAAAAAAAAAAAAACCCTCAATGCCAAAAAAACAAATAACCCAATCAATAAATAGGCTAAATAACTAAACAGACATTTCTTAAAAGAAGAAACACAAATGGCCAACAGATATGTGAAATGTTCTATATCTCTAGCAATCAGGGAAATGTATATAAAAACTACTCTAAGATTTCATTCTAGTCAGAATAGCAATTACCAAGAATATGAATAATAATAAATGCTAGGGCTGGGGTTGTGGCTCAGTGATAGGGTGCTTGCATAGCACGGGTGAGGCATTGGGTTTAATCCTCAGCACAACATAAAATAAATAAATAAAAATAAAGGCATTGTGTCCACCTATAACTAATTTTTTTAAAATAATAAATGCTGGCAAGGATGTGAGGGAAAAGGTATACTCAAACACCGCTGGTGAGACTGCAAATTAGTATTAGTACAACCACTTTGGAAAGCAGTGTGGAAATTCCTCAAAAAACTAGGAATAGAAGGCTAGGGTTGTAGCTCAGTGGTAGAGCGCTTGCCTGGCACGTGTGAGGCCCTGGGTTCAATCCTCAACACCACATAAAAATAAATAAATAAAATAAAGGTATTGTGTTCACCTACAACCAAAAACAAACAAACAAACAAAAAACCCCAAAACCTAGAAATGGAACTACCATATGACTTAGCTATCCCACTCCATGGCATTTATCCAAAAGAACTAAAATCAGCATACTATAATGATACATCCATTATAATGTTTAGCCAAATTATGAAATCAACCCAGATGCCCATCAATAGATGATGGGCTTCCTTTTGTTCGTAGAAGAGGTCAAACTTTTCCTCAGCTATAAAAAAAGATTGAAATAATGGCATTTTCCAATAAATGGATGGAAATGGAGAACATTAGGCTAAGTGAAATATGTCAGACTCAGAAAATCAAAGAGAGCCAGCTCTCTCATATGTGAAAGCTAGAGCAAAATAAGGGAAAGAAGGTGGTGGGAGAGGGGATTAGATATCATAAAGATATAGGAAAGATCAGTGGAGAAAATGTAGGAGAATGAGAGGGAGGGAGGGAGGGAGGAAGAGAAAGGCAAAGAAATATGGGATGAATCTATATACATATATAAATGTACTAAAAGGAATTTCACTTTTGTGTATATGCAGAAAGTACCAATAAAAAGTAAATAAAAGGAAGATGAGTAGATGAGGGAGAAAAGGAGGCAAGAGATGGGGGGGAAAGGGGTGGGAGAAATAGATATTGAGATAAAATTCCTTATATGTATAAGTTTGTCCAAAAAATACTATTTATAATTACAATGCTATCATCAAAAAAGGAAGCATTTGCATTTTATTTTTTACATACTATTTATATCCTTTGTCCAGTTTTCTTCTTACCATTTCTTTTTAATTTCTAAGAGCTTTTTATATTTTATGGTAATTGGTCTTTGTGACTGAGTTTCAGATATCTTTCCCAGTTTTCTTTTAACTTTGTTTATAATGATCTTTGCCTTACATTTTTTGTTTAAGTTCACTGAATTTACTCTTTTGTAGTCTTCTTGGTTGTGCCATATTTAGGAAAACTTTCCCTGTTCCAGTTTTACATCTTGAAAGCCTCTCATGGTTTTTAAAATTAAACAACTTTATTTTTGCTTTAACCATTTTAAGTATTGTCTTTCTGATCTGAGATATTTTATAATCTAAATTTATAAAATAAAAGGCATCTAAAACTTGATGTGTACAAAATAGGACTCTCTTCTCAGTTCTAATCCTGGTCCTTGACTGCTTCCCCCTTATTCTAACAGTTATTCAAAATAAAAACTGAAGACTCAACTTTGGTTCCCATCTTTCCTTTACCAATGTCCCTGTTCCTTACCTGCATGCAATATTTAATCTAGCTTTTTTTTTTTTTTTATGCCGGGGGCGGGGGTGTTCAAAATATATCTTGGTTAATCTATTTATAGCTTTCTTGTAATTTTTTTTGTAGTTACAGATGGACAGAATGCCTTTGTTTTATTTATTTTTATGTGGTGCTAAGGATTGAACCTAGTGCCTCACATGCGCTAGGCAAGCACTCTACCACTGAGCTACAACCCTATTTATAGCTTTCTTTATAGCCACCTATCATCCTGATCAGCGACACTATCATGTCACTTGGACTACTGCAGTACATGAATCCCGCTTCCATTCCAGGCTCCTTACAAATCTCCACACAACATCCAGAGTGATCTTTAAAAATGTAAACCATGGGCTTCAGAGGTAGATCAGTAGTAGAGCACTTACCTAACACATGTTAGGTCATAGGTTCCATCTCCAGTACCACCAAAAAAGAATTTTTAAAAAATTATGGTAGAACTAAAAATGTAAGCCATGTTCTGACACACTCAGCTTTTAAAGTTCCAAGGGCTTCCCATTAACCTCAATATGAATCCAAACTTCATACCATGGCCTAAAATGCTTTGTATGTGGCCCTCGCCTACTTCTCTGACTTCATCTCCTGTTGTTCTAACTCTTGATCATATGTTTTAGCACCCTGGCTTCCTTTTGTTTGTAGAACAGGTCAGATTTAATTGTGTCTTGGGGACACAATACTTGCTATTCCTTCTGTGCTATATCTTCATTATGCTGACTTCTTTCTCATCCTCTATGGCTAAAACTTAATCACTATTTCAAAGAGGTACCCCTTCCATCCTATCTAAAATAAGTCTCCTGACCCTATCATACTCTTGCCTAGTACCTTAATTTATTTTCCCCATATGACTTGTCACTACTTATTTAATAAATGTAAATGAAAATTTGCATATAATACTCAAATTATAAATGTTAGTCTAGCAGTCACTGTCCTAAAATACAATGCCTGGCTTCAAAGTACCAAGGCTGGGAGAAAGACATTTTTCTTTGAGAGAAGTATTTCTTTTCACTGAGAGAGAGAAAAAAAAACTTCCCTTTTAAAAATAATAACTGTGGACATACAATGTTTTCTCTCTGGTCCTCATCTCTTTCAATTTTTATTTCCATCTATGGGAAGAGATAAGACATACAATAATAGGAGAGTACGTTTCGTAAACCAAATTAAGTGCTAAGGACAATTCTCAGAGCTAGGTAAGTACTCTAAAACCTGTCCTATGAATAAGTATCAACAAGTGACTATATTTTCCTTGCTACAGAGTGGTAGACAGAGGCAAGAGCCTTTGACTTTCAAGCTGATCTAAACTTTTTTTATTAGTTACACATGACAGTACAATGATCTTGACAATTCATACATATGAATCAAATGGGGTACAATTTCTCATTTTTCTGATGTATAGGTTGCAGAATCACATTGGTCATACAGTCACCTATATACATACAGCAATAATAATGTCTATTTTATTCTGCTGCCCTTGCTATCCCCTCTTCCCCTCCCCTCCCCTTGATCTAAACTTTAATAGACAAAACACACTGGAAAGGTTGTACAGTGCCAGTGTTTAGAATGAGCTAAAAGATTCTATCTACAGAAATCTGGGCTAAACAGACTTCAAGAAATTATTATACCAGTAATTCAGGAGGCTAAGACAGGAGGATTGCAAGTTCAGGGCCAGTTTCAAGATATTAATTATAAAAGGAACTATAACAAATGTAATGAGGAATTAATTTACATTTCTTTAAGTCATACATTCAAATATTATTTAATTAACCTAGCACATACTTATGCCCCATTCCCTTCACCTGTCCTCCCACAACACTAGAAAAAGACTCTATATTTTGGGGGAAAAAAACTTGAGCTGAAAACGTATATGTAGTTTAGATGCCCATACTTATAAAAAGTATAGCCATCTGTATCATGAGCTTATAATGCTTTTTTTTTGATGTTTTTAGTATTTTTTTTCACTTGAACTTATAATTCTTTATTGATAACTTAGACCTAAATACATTAGTATCTAGTAAGGAATAAAGATTCCTTTCATAATTGACCTTATAGCCCTAAACCTGCAGGTGGGAATACAATCACCTCTCTTATATTTCTTTAAAAATTCCTGGCCCAGTGCTGAGGTTGTAGTGCAGTGGTAGAGTACTTGCTAGCATGTGTGAGGCACTGGGTTTGATTCTCAACATCCCATAAGAATAAATAAAATAAAGGTCCATTGATGATTTAAAAAATAAATAAATCCCTGGCCCTTCTTAAAAGTCACATATTAATACCATTCAAGAGAGACAAAAAGTTTTCACTGTTTCTTCAATGATTTTTAAACCTGTTAAAACATCACATTCTTTGCATTTTCCCCTTTGGAAGGCCTTTTTTAAAAAAGCTTGAAGTACAAGAATCTAAAAAGGAATCTAAATGGTCAAAATGCATTTAAAACTTTATAGTAAACATATTGCTTATAAAATAGAAAAACACAAAAACTGAGAAACCAAATGTAGTAAGAATCACCTTAATCTCAATACTCAGTGATAACTACTGTTTAACATACTGGTGTGTCTATAATAGTGATTAAAAGCAAGTTAATACTTACAGATTCCCGAAGGTACCCTTGACCAGCAACATCATATAAACTGAGTCCTATTCTTGTTTGATGAAGCCAAACTGACAATAAAGAAAAAAATGCAATACAATTATTAACACCTATCCTTTAGTGTGTATATGTATGTGTGCGGAAGAAGAGGTGAAATGCTAGATTAGAGTTGGACACAGTGGCATAGCCTATAATCCCAGAGATGTGGGAGCCTGAGGCAGGAGGATCACAAATTCAAGGCTGGCCTCTGCAATTTAGTGAGACTCTGTCTCACAAAATGAAAAGGGCTGGTGATATAACTCAGTATTAGAAAGCCCCTGGGTTCAACCCCTAGTACCACACACACACACACACAAAAAGCTCGCATGTGCTAGGCAAGCACTTTACCACTGAGCCACAACCCTATTTATAGTTTTCTTTATAGCCACCTATCATCCATAAAAAACCCATCTATTAACTCTAAAAACCTATTTCTTCTCATACACACTGAGTAATCATTAACCCTAAAATTGTTTCAAACAAAACAAACATACCATTGAATGGCAGATTTCAACACTTCTATCATGATCAAAGCCACAATAAAACTGACACCCTTGGGGTTGGGGTTGTGGCTCAGCATTTGAGCACTTGCCTTGCACTTGTGAGACCCTGGGTTTGATTCTCAGCACCACATAAAAATACATAAGTAAAATAAAGGTATTGTGTCCAACTACAACTAAAAAATAAATATTTAAAAAAAATAAAAATAAAACTGATACCCTTAAAGAAATCATTCTTTACCTATTAAAGTTGGTGTTCCACCAAATAGGGGTAGCTAACAGAATGTTACATCTTCAATGAAGCTGCTTTCATTCTACTGAGGTTGATTACAGCAGCCAAGAAAAAGATGGTACACAACAAGATTTCACAGATTATTATGGTATTTAATAGAAATCATAACAACTACAAGTTGTTTAATAGAGGCTCCTTGAAATTGATGCAACAATCAAGGATTTGAAACTATCCTTTAAAACAACTCAACTTATAGCATTTTTTAAAATATTTATTTTTTAGTTGTAGTTGGACACAATATCTTTATTTATTTATTTTTATGTGGTATTGGGGATCAAATCAAGGCCTTGCCCATGCTAGGTGAGAGCTCTGCTACTGAGCCACAACTCCAGCTCCAACTTGTAGCATAATAAAATTACTAGTAAACTAAAATTATTTCAAATCACCATACATTAAAATTCTTGGTTCACCTTTCAGTATTTCTAATCAGCTACTATCTTTAGGGTACATGAAATTTTATTTTTATAATAAGGAACCCAAATTTAAAGTATAAAATACCAACTTTAGGAAGCTCCCTAAGAATCATTATAATAATATGTAAATAATCATGTATTGTTAAAAAGACAAGAAATCCTGCTATTCAAATTCAAGTAAAAGAGTTGTTTCACATGAAGAAATACTATAGAAGCAGACTAGAAATCTGCTTGATTTCTAGATGGAAGGAATTCAATCAAGCACAAGGAAAATTGATTACCTTTTCGCATGACATAGTTAAAGAACTGCATGATGGAAATTCTTCCATAAGAATCTGTATGAAGGAGTTTAGCAAAGACTTTTGCAGTGAAAAACTGCCTAAGAAAAGAAAGAAAAGACTAGAATATTCTGCCAACATAATATAAAAATGATTTCTAAGTGAATTAGCAAACAGCATAAATTTATATATTTAAAATCAAAGTGAAAAAATTAAAAGCAATAAGTATAGAAAACATATAGTTCAAAAACTTAAAATATTAAGCCATTTATCATTGCATTCATTTTTTCTTTACATTCTCCTGTGTTAAGAATGAAGTCCTAATGCATTTAACAAAACCATGCTATGTGCATGTATAAATATGTCACAGTGAATTCCACCTTTATGTATATCTATAAAACATCAATTAAAAATAAATAAATTAATAAATAAAGATAGGTGAGTAGAGGAAGAGGAATAAGGGGAGGGAAAGACAAGAAATCAGGGAGCAAATTAAATTTCACACATGTATGATTCTGTCAGAATGAACCCAACTATTAAATAACTACAAATGCACTAATAAAAACATTTAAAAAATTGGTATTTGACAGTTACACTAAAAAAAGACATCTTAAACTGTCAAACTATTTCTTTTAATCTTCATGCAATATACTTTTTCTTCATTATAAATTATTTTATTAAATTTCATTAATAGCTTAAATTGTCTTTAATGTCACATGACAGACTTAAATTTTCCTTAACAGTCAAGGCATTTAAAATGCTATGCCTCTGTTAATTATTCTTACTTGCATTTTGGTCCAGCCTTTTCACCAACCTTCAAAAAATTTTCATAATTGATCATTGCTTCCTCTCCAATCATGGGTGGTGTCTGGTGTTTGTCCAACAAAAACCATAAGTTCTTACCAAGAATTACAGAAATGAAAATGTTAGTTAAAATTTTTTCAAATGTAGTCAAATGCAACATTTCCATTGAAATGATAGTCTGATAGTAGAGATTTAATATTAAGACATAGAATAGCGGGGCTGGGGCTGGAGCTTAGCAGCAGAGTGCTTGTCTAGCATGAGTGAAACACTGGGTTAGATCCTTTGCACTGCAAAAAAATTAAGCAAATAAAATAAAGGCATGCTGTTTCTATGACTACAAAAAAATTTTTTTAAAGATATAAAATAGCTAACATTTATAGTGCCTACTAAGTCGTAAGTTTTTCAAATATAGTTTCTCCTTAATCCACTTAACTATGTATAATGTAGGTATTTATACCTACTTTACAGTTGAGAATTACATCACAGAGATGTTAAGTCCATTGCCTAAGGTCGCAGAGTAGGACTGGGATTTGAAGCTCTGCAATCTGACCTGACATTAGAATCATACAGGGACTTAAAAAGAAATAAACTTAACAACACTACCCTTAGAGGATAATGGCCCATGCAAGCTCAGCAGCTGATTCTTGTGGCCACCTTATACATTACCATTCTGCAGTACTAAGTCACTAGGCACCCTGAGATCCTACATGATTTAAGTAGATAACAAATAAGAAATGGTTAACTTCTAACTTGTTCTTACCTGTAATTCTTCATTATCTAAGAGTTCTCTGCTTTTCCTTTGGAGAAAAACAGCTCTGGATTCCTCTCTTAATTTCTGTAGTAAAACCTCATCTTCAGCTGGCAACTAAAAACACATTGTAAATTTCTACAGGTAAATTGTAAATTGAATCAAGTAAAATGTTACATGACTTCATGAGATAACTACATGGCACTTCCTCTGTTTGTTTTTTGATTCTTACCTTAATTTTGCTTAACATTCATTTAACAAAAAGAGATCCACAAGCAATTTAGTGAACAGCAATGCTAGATCTCTGCCTTGAAAAAGCTATAGTCTAGTCCAAGTTTATTCTATATTCTTTTTTGGCAGATGGTAGGTACCAAGGATTGAATTCAGGGACACTCAACCACTGAGCCACATCCCTAGCCCTATTTTGTATTTTATTTAGAGACAGGGTCTCACTGAGTTGTTTAGTGTCTCCCAGTTGCTGAGACTGGTTTTGAATTTGCAATCCTCCTGGCTCAGCCTCCAGAGCTGCTCGGATTATAGGCATGTGCCACAGTGCTACCTTATTTTATACTCTTAAAGCTCTTAAAGCATTGTGTTTCCGCTGGGCTTGGTGCTGCATGCTTGAAATCCCATCAGCTTGGGAGACTGAGTCAGGAGGATCATGAGTTCAAAGCCAGCCTTAGCAAAAGCGAGGTGCTAAGCAACTCAATGAGACCCTGTCTCTTAATAAAAAATATAAAAAGGGCTGGGGATGTGGCTCAGTGGTTGAGTGCCCCTGAGTTCAATCCCCAGTACCAAAAAAAAAAAAAAAAAAAAGTATCGTGTTTCCATTGTGACCTCAGACTGATACTGAATTAAAGTAGGACTAGTTTAAGACTGACAGACATAGGAAAGCATGCCTGTTGAGACTGGATCACCTTCCTTCTTAGAGATGGTTAAGTCAGTGTCTATTATGTTGTCTTACAAGGCAGAGGGTTTGCCAAATGAGATAATTTCCATAAACAGAGCTTCAGAATACTCATTTCAACCTCAATTAAAACAATATGTTTTAAGGATTTCTTCTTCCTTTTCTACATTCTCCTTGCTCTATTAAATGTATCTCAGTAGCCCTTGGTACAAATTGGATGTTGTGGTTTTCATCTTTCATTTCCAAATCTCAAAGAGGCCATCCTTCTCATCAAAAGGGATGGATAAAAGAATAGAGAAAGAATTATTTGGAGGAGGAGGTGGAATTAGGGACAAGAGAGAGACACAGACAGTTAACCAGTTAATCAGACGAGGAGAAAAATGGTGACTGAAAATTATATATATTTTCTCTGAAGGATGAGGCCATGGAGAAGAAAAAGAAAGAAGAGAAAACTTTTCACAAATGTACAATTGCAGGCAGGAAACAGTAATGGATCTGGAAATGGTCCCAGAGAGGAGAGAGAAGATAGGAGAAAAAGAACTCCTTCGGAAACCAGAAGGGAGATGGGCTGGTAATGTAGCTTAGAGGTATACTGCTTGTCTAGTATGTGCAAGGCCCTGAGTTTGACCCCCAGCAAAGTAGAAATGAGAGAGAGAGAGAGAGAGAGAGAGAGAGAGAGAGAGAGAAAATATGAATAAAAGAAAAAAGGGGAGGAGTTGGGTACAGTGGCATATGCCTGTGATCCCAGGAGGTTGAGCCAGGAGGATTATAAATTCAAGGTTAGCCTCAATAACTCAGCAAGGCCCTCAGCAACTTAGTGAGACCTTGTCTTAAAATAAAAAGGACTGGAAGATGTAGCTCATTGGTAAAGTGCCCCTGGGTTCAGTCAAAGAAAAAAGGAGGGAAAACCAGGAGTGGTGACACATACTTATAATCCCAGCAACTCAGCAGGCTGTAGGAAGATCATAAGTTTCAGGCCGGCCTGGGCAACTTAGCAAGACCCTATCTCAGAATAAAAATTTTTTAAAGTGCAGGGGATGTAGTGGTAGAACACTTGCCAAGCACGCATGAGATCCTGTGTTAAATTCCCAGTCTATTTCTCTCTCTCTCTCTCTCTCTCTCTCTCTCACACACACACACACACACACGAAAAGAAAAAAAAAAAAAAAAGAAAGAAAGAAAAGAAATGAAATGAAACCAGGAAAGGAAGACAAAATTTGATCTTGGAAGTGCAAAAAAATTCAGTCCTGAACTCAGGAATAAGGTCACAAAATTCCTACCCAAGGGGTATTCCTGGAGTAGTAAGATACTATTTGATAATCTAGTTTAAATGAGATAATAAGTACAGTCTTCTGCAGAAATTAGGCACTCAATAAATATCCATTCCCTTCCATCTCTTATAGGTTATCAAAACATTCACTTGTCTATTTGTCTGTTTAATAATAGAAAAAACAGTAAAAAGCATATATGATGTGATCTCATTTTTGTTAAAAAAGAACATGTATACACTCTCACAGAAATATGTAGAAGGATTCATGTAAAAACTGTATTTGTTTTGTTTTGGTACCGAAAATTGAACCCAGGAATGCTCAACCACTGGGGGGCCACATCCCCAGCCCTTTTTCCTTTTTATTTTTTGAGACAAGGTCTTGCTAAATTGCTTAGGGCCACATTAAATGGCTAAATCGGGCCTCAAATTTGTAATCCTCCTGCCTCAGTCCCTGGAATTGTAGGCTTGTGCCACCATGCCAGGTGAAAAATACTTTTTTCTTAAAAGTTTTTTCCTGGAAGAAATGTTTCAATAACTCATATTAACACTTCAATCCCTAAGAATGCCAGTTAAACATAATGTTTAATATTATAATGAATAAATTTAGAAGACACCATGTTCAAGAGACATCCAGCTAAGATTCCAAAGTTAACTTTTCTATAGTGGTTACCTTTTACATACTACTAAATAGGTCTTATTCTTTTGGTAGATTTCACTTTTCAGTATAAATAGTTTTCTTAAGGCCTTACTGTTTTGTCTATGCCCCCTTCAAAGACTTCTTTACAGTTTTGGCACAAGGAAACATATAAGTGAATCACTTTTAAGTTTTCCAATCTCCATCTATTTTTCAGTTTAGCCTTGAGCAAATTTTTATATCTCATAACATAGTGTTGTATACTACAACATAAAAAATCCAATAGAATACTAACACTAATATGTATTATAAAAATGATAGAAAAGAACCATAGTTCAAAAAAAATGAGCAAAACCAACTTATTTTCATAATAGTAATAAGATCAACTAGAATGGAAGAATATACAAAATTTAAATTTAATCTTCTATTTTTTAAAATATAAAATTCTAATTCCATTTTTAAATTATATTTTATTTATAAACTTTAAGAGACATTTGATTAAATATCACTTACCCTATAATAAAACCGAGGAATGGTCTTATATAATTCATTTGTGTTTTTTCTACCTCCTTTCCATTCTGAGTAGTATTTGGTAAATAAATCCATTTCTTCATCTTTTAATTCTTGTTCACTTTTTTGATCTGATAACAAAAAGGATTAAGGGGAGAAAAGCTCTCTTAAAAATCAAGTAATATTTTTACTCAAGTCATTGTAGATACCATAGTCTAATCAAAATAGTTGCAGAATTTCATGTTAACTTTCTTGAAATACTAAAGATCACTATCTGTCACTAAAACAGCTTCTTCTACATCTTCATAGACACTGGAGCTAGGAGTAAATAAAACAACCTCTGACTTCATGAATTTTCAGCTTCATAATCATTGTTCCTCTCTCTTATGCAAAAAAACCTCTTTCTGAAGTCAAACATCAAGGCTCTATTACCCTCCAACCTGCCTCTTGTTGGTGCATAACTGTCTCTTTCAGTCAGTCCTCCTTACTTAGGATGAATAAACATTTATGTGAGTGACTGTGATCCCTAAGACTTTAAAAAGGCTTTCATCTCTACTCTGTCACTCAGTTTCACTATAATACCACAGATCTTACGGCTCCTCTTCTGAAATCCTTAAAACTCTAATACATATCAGATCATTTTGTCTGGTCATTGAAAACTACACAGCCATAATATTTGCTCTTTGGGTTTCACTGAAATTTTCTATCTGTGATCTATTCTCTCAAAAGTTTATTTTTGTCTTTCTGTGTCTCTTCTCCAACAAGCTTCTTGTTCCCTTATACTCCTTTTATGACAGTATTTTTGTTGCATCTTTCATGTTAATTTTTATCCTTGGACAAACCTATAATTAAATTTCTTTATGCATATGGCTCAGTGCTATTGGAAAAAAAACTGCAAAATTTTGCAAATAAATGAGAACACATCTTACCACCAAATTTAGCAATGTGGAAATCACTAAAGATGCTTGACAAACAGGAATAGAGATTTAAACAAAAAGGCTTTTAGGAAGTATTGTTATAAGAGAAACAAAAATAAGGCACATCTAGAGGTAGAAATAAATGCAAAAAAGTTTATTTAAGGAGATGGGGTTGTAGCTCAGTGGTGGGAGTGCTTGCTTAGCATGTGTGAAGTACTGGGTTCAAAACTCAGCACCACACAAAAATAAATAAATAAAAGAAAGGTATTGTGTTCATCTACAACTAAAAAAATTTTTTTAAAAGTTTAAGATAAAAAAAATACATTTTCCTTTATATACTAATAGGAATGACTAAGAAAATCTGATGCAGGAAAGAAGGCAATTGTTAAGAATACAACGATGAAGGGGCTGGGGATGTGGCTCAAGCGGTAGCGCGTTCGCCTGGCATGCATGCGGCCCGGGTTCGATCCTCAGCACCACATACAAACAAAGATGTTGTGTCCGCCGAAAACTAAAAGATAAATATTAAAAAAATTCTCTCTCTCTCTCTCTCTTTAAAAAAGAAAAAAAAAAGAATACAACTATGAGATCCTCTAAAGAAAATAATGCCAAGAGTTAATAAATGGGATGGCATCATTAAAAGCTTCTACACAACAAAGGATACAATTAGGAATGTTAAGAAAGAACCCACAAAATGGGAGAAAAATCTTTGCTAGCTACTCTTCTGACAGAAGATTAATATCTAGAACATGTAAAGAACTCAAATAACTTTACATGAAAAAAAAATAATCCAATTATTAAATGGGCAAAGGAATTATATAGACACTTCTCAAAATAAGAAATACAAATGATCAATAAGTACATTGAAAAAATATTCAACATCATTAGCAATTAGAGAAACTCAAATCAAAACTACACTGAGATTTCAGCTTACACCAGTCAGAAAGACAGGAATCAAGAATACAAATGATAATAAATTCTGGAGAGGATGTTGAGTACGCTGTTGGTGGGATTGTAAATTAGTACAACCATTATGGAAATCAGTATGGAGGTTCCTTAAAAGACTAGAATGGAACCATCATATGATTCAGGTATACCACTCCTCAGTATTTATCCTGACAATTTAAGTCATCATACTACAGTGATACATGCCTACCCATGTTTATAGCAGCACATTCACAACAGCCAAACTATGGAACCAGAATAAGTATCCATCGATGGATGAATAGATAAAGAAAATGTGTATATATGCACAATGGAGTTCCATTTAGCCATAAAGAAAAAATGAAATTATGTCATTTGCAGAAAAATGGATGCAACTATTATGTGAAGCAAAGTAAGAGAAACTCAGAAGGTCAAGGGTCATATGTTTTCTGTCATATGTGGAAACTAGAGAGGAAAAAAGAAAAGACAGATGGGAGCAGAACTCATGAAAATCAAAGGAAGATCAGTAGATAAAAGGGACCAAGAGGTGAGAGGTGGAGAGGGAGGAAGAAAGTATTGGGGAGAATGATATTGGCCAAATTGTGTATTTATATTATGTGCACGTACAAATATGTGACAACAAATTACACTATTATGTACAATTATTAATGTGCCAATAAAAAAGTGTGGAAAAAAAGGTACATCTTTGAGTAGGTAAAAAAGGGATTGAGATTCCAGAGAAGATGGCGGCGAGGGGAGTGCATTGTCCCCGTGTGCTGCGTCACTGTGTGGGAGAATGACGAGTCAGGACTGCTAAAGGCTATCTTGTTAGGAATTTCCAGCAATAGTGGGGTGCTCCGGAACCTGGAGGAAGGATTTCCATCGCACGAGGATCGGCTGCGGGGACTCAAACGTGAGAGATTTGTCGCACGGAGGGTAACACTGCTTATTCAGCAAATCGCCCTGCGGCTAGAGTCTGCAGCACACGCTGGGAAACAAAGAGATAGTGACGCAGGGATACAGCGCTGCAGTTTCTGCCAGCCGTGCAAGCACCGTACTCAGTGCTGAATTCTGGGTTCGAGACGGGGGAAGGAAGCGGTCCATTTCGGTTCTCCACACCGGTCAGATCACAGAGGAGGCCAGCGGCCACCATCTTGGAGAGCTGACGTCACCATCCCTGTTTTCGACTGACCGCAGCTCATTCAGCCATAGAACAGGTAATTCCAGGCTGCCATTCGCCTGCGGCTTGCAGACAGATTACTCAGGCTCAGTGCCAGATGACCCACGGAGACTGCTTCTTGGAGCCTGCTCTTAACGGAGCGTACACCGAGCACGGAGCGGCTGAGTTCCGGCTCCCGGAACTGCTCTGGCCCAGGGCTAAGGAGCCCGCGGAAACTGCTTCTCGGTACTCAGCAAGTACTGTGGAGGTAAATACCAACCAAGCCTTCGGGGGCAGTGGCAACAGGACTGAGACGGAGCCTGTGAGGGCCGGTCAGGACTCACCCGTTGCTTTGGTCACCCGGCAAAGGGAACGAAGGGCTGCCATTCGCATAGGATACCAATATGGCAGAGATCTGATGTCATCAGAAAGCAGCGGATGAGAGAACTTCATCAATACCAGCGGCGACAGAAACAGTTGGTCTCCTGGTAGGGAGGGTGAGTCACAGACACCCGAGTCTCTCTCGCTTTGTCTTCGAGCCAGAGGGGAGGAGCCGGGCTGCCGCCCGCGCCCGGAGCAGGCCCAGCGACTCGCCGGCGTGGTGGTCGCGTGACCCCAATTGGAGAGGGGGCGGAGCGGAGCCGCCACCCGCGCCCGCAAGGTGGGCAGGCCTGCGACCCAGTGGTACGTGGGCGTGGTAGGAGGGGCAGGGCAGAGCCGCCGCCCGCGCCTGCAAGGTAAGCAGACCTGCGACAGACTGGCGGGTCAGACCCAGCGGCCTGCCAGCGTGGTACACACGTCACCCCAACTGGAGTAGGGGCAGAGCAGAGCCTTCGCCCGCGCCCGGATCAGGCCCCGCTGGTGTGGTGGTCACGTGACGCCAATTGGAGTGGGGGCGGAGCGGAACCGCCACCCGTGCCCGTAGGGTGGGCAGACCTGCGACCAACCTACAGGTCAGGCCCAGCGGTCCGCGGGCATGGTAGGAGGGGCAGGGCAGAGCCGCCGCCCGCGCCTGCAAGGTAGGCAGACCTGCGACAGACAGGCGGATCAGGCCCAGTGGCCTGCAGCTATGTTCGTCAAACAAACTCTTCTCAAGTTCAAGAGTCTAATAGACCACCATACAATAATCATGGGAGACTTCAACACACCTCTCTCGCCACTGGACAGATCTTCCAAACAAAAGTTGAATAAGGAAACTATAGAACTCAATAACACAATTAATAACCTAGACTTAATTGACATATATAGAATATACCACCCAACATCAAGCAGTTACACTTTTTTCTCAGCAGCACATGGATCCTTCTCAAAAATAGATCATATATTATGTCACAGGGCAACTCTTAGACAATATAAAGGAGTAGAGATAATACCATGCATCTTATGTGATCATAATGGAATGAAACTGAAAATCAATGATAAAAGAAGGAAAGAAAAAGCATACATCACTTGGAGAATGAACAATAGGTTACTGAATGATCAATGGGTTATAGAAGACATCAAGGAGGAAATTAAAAAATTCTTAGAGATAAATGAAAACACAGACACAACATATCGGAATCTATGGGACACATTGAAAGCAGTTCTAAGAGGAAAATTCATTGCTTGGAGTTCATTCCTTAAAAAAAGAAAAAAAACAACAAATAAATGATCTCATGCTTCATCTCAAAATCCTAGAAAAAGAAGAGCAAAACAACAGCAAAAAAAGTAGAAGGCAAGAAATAATTAAAATCAGAGCTGAAATTAATGAAATCGAAACAAAAGAAACAATTGAAAAAATTGACAAAACTAAAAGTTGGTTCTTTGAAAAAA